GATATGAAGATTTCTTTTTTCTCCATTATGGCATAAGTCAAGGCTGTTTTCAAGAATACATACTGTACTGTAAACCTTCAGAATTTAAACTTTTACATTTCACCGGTAGGGGGCAGTGTTACACCCTGAAGACTGTGTGCTGCCGCAAATTAAACGAGGAAGTGTTTTTTTTTTTTGTTATTATTATGGCAAAAAAGAAAGTAAAGGAAACAACAGCACATAGATCTTCAGTCATCAGCGAGAAGCCAAAAAAGCAGAAAGCTATGGCGCATTTAGAGAGGAGTAATAATTATTTATTTGGAGCTGCTGTTGCTTTAGTAGTAGCTGTTTGCATAGTCCCACTGACGGCTGAAGTTTCAACTCGTAAGTAAATAAAATGTTGACTATAAAAATAAAGGCAGGGTACTATTTACTGTGGCTGACTTAGCAACATATCTCAAAGAAGGCTAAATATAATCCAATTATCTTTACTACATTGTGCGTAAAAACGAGTGCTATTTTATCATCGTATAACAGCCGAGCTGTTAGCTCATGGCTGTGGATTAGCATGTAGCATCGGGAGTTTGAACTTCCCTCTGGATTAATTTGTTGTGGATTATCTCAGCATGTGACCGCCGAGCTGCGCAGTCATTCCCTCCCCAGCCTTGTCACATGTCCACCTCCTCCTGACGGTGCCATTAACTGGCCTTTGTAGCTAAAAGGTTTTGTATGAATTACATTTTTTTTTTTTCGTCTCTTAAGCTTTAGGAAAAATGCATCATGTGATCTCGGAGTTTTCCGTTGTGCGCATGCGCGTTCACCAATAATCCAAAGAGGTCACTTCTAAAGACTTGAATGGGTTTTTGAGCGTTTGAGTTACTTCGTAATAGTTTAACAGAGAGGGGCTGGGAGATTACAGGCATCATCTGCACACTTCGATTTGGTTTATTCTGGGTCTCAGCTGATCTGCCCTCTTTCTTTTACCCCAGCTGACTTCAGTCAGTCTAAGCGCTCAGATCTGAAGATGGATGAAGCGTTTCTGAGAGTCAACAATGAGCTGGACAGTGATGTCCTGGTGTCCTGGAAGTCAGAGTCCTGCTACAAGGTAGGCGAGCACTTCCCAAATCACTTGTCTGTGTTAAAGGGACAATACGTTTTGATCTGGACTTGTATGGCCCTCTTGTCTAGTGTTTGTACCAGAAGCTCGGAGTGGTACCAGCAGGGTCAGGCCCAGGTCAGCCCACTTCGGCCAACTTCACTGTCAGCACACAACATGAAATGACGCTGCAGGTCAATAGTACTTCTGCCATGGAGCTCTGCAAGTAGGTTTATGAACGTTGTCATCAGAATGAAGCGTTTATAAGTAACAACAGTTGATTTTATACCATTTTTAAAGATTTGTGTTTATTATCGCTGCTCTAAATGTGCACGGGTGATCATGTTTTTTGCCGTGTGTGAAGGTTGATTTGTCTGTAGTGTTAGTAAAATGAGCTTATAGATGGATTTTATTGAATGTTTTAGAGCGTAAGCATTGAATGTACATGTACTGGTAAGTGTTTGAAGTCAGCTCTGTTCAAGATGGTTGCAACATCCAAGCAACCATAGAAAACCCAAAAATGGCTGCAAGTATCTCAGCTGCTTTCACAGATCTGAAGCTAAAATTTGGCGGGTTATTAGCTGAAACACCCAACACAACATCTGAGCACTAATGGATCACACAAACCTGTTTTTAAAAACTTTAATTAACTAGATGGACTTTAATAAATGTGCTCATTGGTGCACGTCTACAACTCATTAGCTGTTGGAGCTAACATAATTATAGATGGTTATGACAATTAACTGATTTTACAGAACACATAAAATGCCTCTACTTTGGCCAGTTTAGCAAATATTAAGTTAGAATTTGGTGTTTTAGTAGCTGAGAGTTATCCTCAACACATATTCTGAGCACTACGCATTGCACAATATTCTTGCTTCAAACGGCATTCACTGTTGACATTAAATCGTTGTCTGTTAGCAAAATATCTCATAGCCCACAGAACAGATTGTATTAACCATTAGATATACATCTACAACCGATGACCGTTTCAAGTCAACCCTCTTCAAAATGGCCTCTGCATCTGATCGATATTAGCCACCTGGCTATAATTGTTTACATTTTACAGTTATTAAGCTACAAGTTGAGTTTTATATATTTTGTATACTTCATGACTTTGTTAATAAAATTACAGCTCAACAAATCTAATCCAAGTTTGTCTTTGATTAAAACAAATACGTATTTTAGGTTAATGTTTATTTAAGAAGAGGCTATTTTCCTACAAAAACACAGTTGAATAACAACCTGCATGAAACGACTTAATCATAATCTGACTGGTTCATATTTTGGCTGATTTTATTTTGTTTTCTCAGGGTTCAGTTCCACTTCGGGGAGCATGGGAACTACTCTCTGTGGATGAAGAGCCTGGCCAACTGCTCTGTCGTGACAGACGCAGAGCCTGTGAACAGCTACATACGTGAGTGTCTCACACGTCAGTCACATGACTGTATGTGAAGCGGTCTGTCATGTTTGTACATACGAGCTTGAGTAAATTAACTTCCTGCACTTTGTCTCCACACAGCGATCCTGGTGGCTTTTTGTATCTTTGTTGTTCTGGCCTCTTTGTTTGTCTTGGGAACAAAATTGTTAGAGTGAGTTTGTTTCATTGGGTTTTATCTTTTTAATAAGGTAAATTACACCTTTTTAAAATGTACTCTGCTCTATGTTAACATATAAGTAATTAACCGAGAAGCTATTAATGCTTTATGTATCTTTAATTACCACTAGATTTGAAACAGTTTCCAGTAAATATCCTGATGCATGCTCAATAATCCAGGTAGAAAAATCTAAAAAAGTTAAATCTGGTCCTCTGGACATTCAAAAAAAATAAAGTTTCCAGTAAAGTCTTTGCAGTAGTTGCATACATTTGTGTAAATCTCCCAAACCTGGAGAAGTACTTGTACCTTGAGCGAGTTACTTGTTGTTTATACGTGAAGTATCTAAAATGGTTTAATATTTCTGGGCCAGACTTGGTGCTGTGAGGCGTCTCGTCCTCAGAGTCAGCGGGTCCATGGAAACTGAAAGACTCATCAACTCCGTAAGTGTTTCGGTGCAGGAAATTATTAAAACTTTACTGTTTTTTTTTTAAGTTTTACGTACCTTTAACCTCCAGTTATTTTATTTTCTATGTAGCACTAGATTATAACAGAGGTCATTTAAGGTTATTCATCTTATTTAGACAACAGACTTTTCTACAAGGTGGAACGTTGATAGTTCTTTTTTTATATATGTTAGTTGTAAACAATAGTAAATTTTTGTGTTTAACAGGATAAAGTTAATATCAAACTTTATTTTAATCCTCCAGGAGCTGGGATATCCTCGGATAGAGACGCCTGTTACTGACAACATCCTGCTTCCTCCACCCAGCACCAGCAAGAGGCTTCGGTCTCTTGACACGTTTAGAGGGTAAAACCCACGTCCTTCTGTCCATCTGGTCCAGCCCACTCAGTTTTTAGTTATTTATTGTTCACTTTATGTGACTTGTTCAATAATACGCCGACAGTGGACATGTCGGATGTTAAAACATGGGTGCACTGTTCTGACCCTGTCACATTGTTTTCTGCAGTGTCTCATTTAGCTTTATTTTTTCTTGTCTTTGTTGTTTCCTCTTTAGTATCTCTTTGGTTATTATGGTGTTTGTGAACTACGGAGGAGGACGATACTGGTTCTTCAGACATTCGAGCTGGAACGGTGAGCCCCGCTCTGTTCTACTTTCAGTTTTTCCAACTTAATCATTCTTCACAGATCTTTAAAATCCTTCATGATTAATTTTTTTCTCGTTCTGCAGGTCTGACAGTTGCAGATCTCGTCTTTCCTTGGTAAGATCAGTTGTTCTAAATATTAAAACCAGATGTTGTTTTTTCTCAGTATTTTTCTGCACAGCCAAGCATGTGCTGTGGTTGGAAATAAAACCAGAGGTTGAAAGAATCCATTCCCTCAGTTAAAAAAGAGAAACTACCCATATTTTTGTAATTGCTTTTTTTTGGTTTTGTTTAGTTCATTCTTAAAGCTCAGAAATATACGACGGAGCTTTAGGGTCACGCTAAGAAAAAAAAAAAAAATTACATTGCCATGCTAAGAAAAAATAAAAGCCATAAAATTACGAGAATAAAGTCAATAAAGCTGCATTTTAACTGTGGTAAAGTGAAGAATGTTGAGCATCTTGTTAAATTATACTTTGGTATTGGTTTAGCAAATAAGGAGATGGTTAATCTGTCAGCACATCTGCATCAGATTATTATCAGTACCAGGACTTTGAACCTGCTTACAGTAAGGCTCTGATGGGCTGCAGCAGCTCTCTGCAGGTGAGGAGCATTTAGCTTCGGATTGGTCGTTTGCTGACACGCCTACTGGATTGATTGACAGGTCGCATTGTGGATCCGACTCGTGGAAGAAAAAAAAAAGTCTTGTACAACTTTATTCTCATAATATTAAGACTTTATTCAACTTTATTCTTGTAATTTTATGGTTTTTATTTATTTATTTTTTCTTAGCGTGGCTCTAAATCTCCGTCGTAGAACTACACAGTTTCATGTAAGAACAAGCATTATTATTTTATTATTATATTGTTAGGCGTGCAACCTCCTGTCTCACTTCCTGTGTTGTTTCCTCATCCACACTGAAACAACAGGAAACACACCTGCTGCACAGACACACTAGTGCTAATGTTAACTCGTGTGTGCGCGTCCTAGAATGGGGGAATGGATTTTTAACATCTTTTTTATTTCAACCTATGGGGCAAAGCAGACTCTGTGCTTCTTCAGGTAATGAAATAAAAAACGAATATGAAACAATTACTTTTTAAAAGTGTCAAAGTTAAAGGGTTTCAACTTTCCTTATGGTTAGATATAAAAAAAAAGTTCTAAACGTTTAATATTTGAAACAAAACTGAACAAGCTTTAATCTTATTCCTCACATTCTCCCTTTTTTCTTTTAAATTAAACACGATCTGATTTATTTTCTTTCTGTTTTCTCCAGGTTTGTGTTCATAATGGGCACATCCATCACACTTTCTGTCAACTCCTTGCTGCGTGCAGGCTCGAGTCGTTGCTCTCTGCTCAGGAAAGTCATGCGGAGAAGCGTCCTGCTCTTCCTCATCGGCATCTTCATCATCAACCCTAACTACTGCCAGGGACCACGTAAGGACGAACTCCTTCACTCACTGTTCTCTGTAGAACCTGAAGAGGCGACTGGATGAGAAGAAGTTCTTATTTTTGAGCTTGCTCTTTCTTGTCTGGCTGTTTCATGTCCCGGCGTGTCTCTTCATCACACTTCTCGCTCTTCTTCTCCACAGTATCGTGGGACAACTTGCGGATCCCCGGCGTGTTGCAGCGTCTCGCCTGGTCTTACTTGGTCGTAGCCAGTCTGGACGTGATGGTGGCGAAAAGACATCTCGACATCCTCACAGCAGTCAGCAAAGCTCAATTTTACCATCAGTTTAAATATACAAACCAAGTCATGTAAAGCATGTTAAATAATTACTGTGCTCTGAATGTAACGCAGGAGTGTTTGACTGAGGGGGGTCTGTTTTGTAGGAGGCCTGGTGGGCTCCAGGACTTGATGTCTTGCTGTACTGGCCAGCCTGGCTGTGTGTGCTCCTGCTGGAAACCCTGTGGCTCTGCCTCACCTTCATTCTTCCTGTACCAGATTGTCCTATGTGAGTCCTTGTTCCATAGCACCACAGACTAATCCAGTGCTGACACATATTTACTTTAAACATTGTGTATCTCCCATCACCTTTCATCCCAGAGTCTTATATGGATAAATGAAACTGTTAAAATAGCGTTACTTGCTTTCTCAAGCAACAAGATGAGATGTTGTGCTCAGAGTATTTGCTGTGAACGACCCTCAGCTACTACCACATCAAAACTTAGCTCCACATGCGTTAAACAGATGGAGTTGGAGCCACTTCTGTGTTTGCTCATGTAAATCAGAATCAAAGATGTATGATTTATTTTTGAAAATGTCATTAATGTCTCAACTGAAAACGGGTAGAATGCCCCATCCAGGTGTGTGTGTGTGTGTGTGTGGGGGGGGGGGGATATTTGCCTCAGGTGGAGGATCTTGTTCATGAGTAACAGTAAGATGGAGCGAGAGATGGATTGGGGCCTTGTCCTCAGTAATGAGGGCGTTGCTTCGGTTAGACGTGGTGATGAAAGAACTGAGTTGAAAGACAAAGTTCTTGATTTACTGGTCTGTCTACATTCATACCTGTGGTCATGAGATTTGGATCATGACCATAAGAACAAGATCCTGGGTTCAAGCAGCCGAACTGAGCTTCGTTTGTAGGTGGCCGGCTCAGGTTTAGAGGCTGAGGAGCTCCGTCATCTCGGGAGAGCTCGGAGTAGAGCCGCTGCTCCTCTGCATCCAAAGAAGTCAGACGAGGTGGTTTAGGTATCTTATTAAGATGCTTCCTGGACACGTCCCTTTAGAGGTGTTTTAGGCTCCTCCCACTGGGAAGACCCAGAACACGCTGGAAAGATTCTTCTCTGGTCTGGGAACACCTCAGGGTCTCCCAAGAGGAGCTGGAGAGGGAGGTCTGGGCTTGTCTCCTGGACCTGTTACCCCCACGACCCGACTATAGATAACAGTAGAAGATGGAGGTTTAATGTCCATCCAGTGGTTCATGAGGTATTTTGCTAACCAACAGGCATGGCTCCAACAGTTGATGCTAAAATGTAGGTAAGGATGTTGCAGTGCAGCACTTGGAGTATGCTCCGTGAGTCACTCTCACCTACAACCAAACCAACTCTTACCTCAGCGTGACTCAGTTATTTCTACTGAGTTGTCTTGACCACTTGGCTGTGGCGTCCATCTTGAATTGGATTAACTCCAGTAGTTGATCTTTTATAAATGTGCATCATGTTTCCTGAATGTTTCATGAAAATCCATCCAGTGGTTCATGAGATATTTTGCTAACAGACTGACATTGTTGATTCCTTTATTTAAAAACAGAATTTTAAACACAGATGCGCACAGATCAGTTAGTACTCAGACTATCAGAGAATCTGTGCCGGCTTAAGTTATAGATTTTTTTTATGGATTATAGGTTGATTACCTGTGGCGGCCATCTTGAATCAAATTTAATCCCAAATGAAATCAGTTGTAGATGTTAATCCAATGATTACTTTGTGAAAGTTTCATTAAAATCCATGTAATTATTCATGAAACATTTTGATAAAGATCAATGACAAAAACATCAGTTTATTATCACTCAGCAACAAGCGATGATAAATATTTATTTTAGTCGTGTGTTAATCTTGATCAGTAACTCTGGCTTCTTGTGGTGTTTCATTCCAGAGGGTATCTGGGTCCAGGTGGGATCGGGGACATGGGACTCTTTGCTAACTGCACGGGTGGAGCTGCTGGTTTCCTTGACCGCTGGCTGCTGGGAGAAAAGCACCTTTATCAGACTCCCTCATCGCGGGTGTGTGGCACGTTTCCCGTTTGGCTGGATTATCCACCGCTTTGTTTATGTTCCTAATCGTGGCTGTCTCTGTAACATTCAGGTGATTTATGCAACGCTCATGCCGTACGATCCAGAAGGTGTTCTGGGGAGCATCAACTCCGTTCTCATGGCTTTTCTTGGATTGCAGGTTTGTAGGTCATTTTTTTAGTCTCTTTGTAATGAATTAAATCATTTAAACGAATGAATTGTTCATTAAAATGTTTGTGACGTAATTCTCCTCAGGCTGGAAAGATATTCTTGCACTACAGAGATTTTCCTAGAAGTATCATTTCAAGGTTTCTCCTATGGGGTTTCTTTCTGGTAAGCCCGTTTGTTGTTTTTTAATGCAAAGTAAGGGTTTCTGTACGATGTGATCAGGACTTCAAGACGACAGAGCACCAGACAAAGCTTCTCTCATCAACCAAGAGTTCTAGGACATCAGGAAACATTTAGGCCAAGCCAGATGATTCAGAACACGTTTTTCTTCATTTCATTTAGAGAAAGTGATGCTATTTGAATAAATTATTTACATTTAAAGGAATAATTGAGATTTGTTGCAGTGGTATATGTAATAATCATCTTACCTGGAGTAATAGATGTTTTGTTCACACAATCTAATGCCAAGTTTGAGTGGAGCCAGTTTTAAAGCAGATTTCTGCCACACTAAAATCAAATTCAAACATTTCAAAGCTGATCACATGACTGCTATTTATAAACTTTTACATTATTGACACTTAATTACATATAAGCCTAAGTAATGAGTTACTCTGAGGACTGATCTGTCTGAGGTCTGGTGCCCATAATGCACCAAACTGTTGTTGCAAAATAAAATGTGCTAACCACTAGTGGATAAAGTAACTGGTGAGAAGGTAAAGTCATATAAAATAAAAAAAATGTTTGAGCTGCTATAGAGTTTTATACGCCTGTCAAAAGGTATTATGGTTTACAGTAGTCCCTTGTTTATCGCGGGGGATCCGTATCGTGAAGCCCACGATAAGTGAGAACCTTGAAGTAGAAATAGTAGTACAAGAAGTTTATTTTAGTATTCACACACAGACATATATATATATATATATATATATATATATATATATATATATATATATAT